AGTAGAGTGCAGCAGTTGAAGCTGATTTGCTTTCTGCCTTCAGCTGTCCATCTCTGGTGCTCATTTGTGGACATTTTGATTTGATTACAGATGTACACACTCCACTTTCATCTTATCAAAAGCAATAAACAGCCCCCACAGCAATACAGCTATGGAATGTGATGGGGGGCTTCCTGCCCCGTGTAGAATTGTACATTTATGTCAGCTGAGATGCCAGGGTAGACGCTGGCCGTGGCCATGCTACAGCTGACAAGAAGATGGCAGAACTTGGTCTCACAAGTTGACATGAGCCTGCAATCTTCTGCAGAAGCATGGAGAGGAAGAAAACTCAACCTTCTACTAGTCACACTGCGTTTGCCTAGTTCCCTCATCCCTTGGCACAGCACATTGGTCTTTCCTGTGAAACAGGTGTCTCCAGCCAGTTTTGGCTATTTTGGATACAAAAGATAAAGACCAAGACCCCCTGGCCTTGTTATAGGAGAAAAATGCTAATGGATCCAACCAGGAGCATCACCTGCAGAAAGTGGGCTCTGGAAGTCACACATAGATACCTCACAGGGAGACTGCCGTGTTCTTGTGGCCTCCATGACTATGTACCCGGCATATAGCTTCACTAACTTAGTATTAGTTTAATAATGAAAATATTTTAAGTTTCTTTCCTTTTTTATGTTTATTCTCTGTACATATTGGGGTACTCACTCATACACCATATGGAGGCCAGATTCTCTGTATGTACTGGGATGTGCACTCATGAATGATGCAGTCAGGTCAACAATGGATGCCTTTCTCTGTGACTGTCCCCCTCATTGTTTGGATCTGGGCTAAGCAGGCTGCCCAGAAAGCTCCAGATCCTCTTATTTCCCCAGCCAGAGTCATTAACTCCTGGTCTTCTGCACAGCTGCTGTGGGCCCTCCCTCAGGTCCTCCTCCTTGCATAGCACCTTGGCCACTGAGCCACTGCTCAGCTCCCCAGATGCTGGTAGCATTGTCAGTGTACATTCCGTGTCAGGATCCGCAGAGACTGCCCAGTCAGAACCATGATTCCCATCTAGGGCAGCGACAATCACATGCACCTTGAGATTTTTATAAGGTGCTGGGCAGAAGTAGAGAAGCCAGGCTTGGGGTTGTTGTCTTGCACCTTGTACTCCTGGGGAAGCACAGTGACGTCGCTGAGCATCTTTCTCATCTGATTTGAACAGAACCTGACCACCTACTCCCAGAGCCATTTGCAGTATACAGGACGCTGAAGAAAAGCAAGCAGGTTCCTACCAATGTTATATATATATATATATATATATATATATATATATATATGCCCATATTAGCACAACTGTGACTTTGGCAGCTATTAGCTATCCTATTTAAAGTCTTTTGTACAGTGTTTTACTGTGTAAACTGAAAAGGTTCAATTTTTATATTTTTATGCCTTTCCTACTAATAGTGATGGATATATAAAAATTCCTTGAAGGGTGCATTGCTCCCAGGATTAAAATAACTGCATATCTGTAATTTCAGGCCTGTATCAACTAGGAAAGCTTACAGTAGAGTTATTGTTTATCTTTTGAATAATGTCCAGATCTTCACTTTCATTCTGTATCTGAAGAATTTACTAATTTTCCTAACACCAAGCTCTCACTGGTGGCTGCAACCTCATTGCTAGTCGGCTCAGCCCTCTTCTCCTATCCGTTGGTGAGAAGAACATCAAGCTAACTAGAACCCTGTAAACACAAACTGTACTTTCGTTTCCCAACTGTACCCGAATAAAAACTCAGACACTTTATTAATTACAACACTGTTTGACCAATGACCCAGGCGTATTTCTAGCTAGCTGTTACGTCTTAAATTAACACATTTCTATTAGTCTATGTATTGCCACATGGCCGTGGCAGTACATTTTCTACATGTCTTGTTTCCTCGGCAGCTGGCTGGCATCTGATTTATTTACTCCGCCTTCTTTTTCTCTGTTTCTCTGCTTGGATTTTCCACCTGGCTTTACTCTGCTAAGCCATTGGCTGAAACAACTTTATTCATTATCCAATAAATGCAACATATATACAGAAGGGCATCCCACATCAGAAACCAGTGTGGGCTACTTCATATTTCTCCTTAGGTTCATCCACAGTTTGAGGTACTGACCTAGTATGTACCCCCATAAGGAGAAGGTGCTTGTGATATGAATTTCTGAACTTTGATCAGTGCTAATATAGCTGCCCAGTGTGGAAGTCTGTGGGTGCTGGTGGGGCTCTCCCCCATCTGGTCCTCTCGGTTTTCATTTGGAAAACTGAGGTGCAGATGATAGTGAGCAAAGAAGTCTAAAGTCCCATGACGAGTGAAGCCATAGCCTTCACTCCATTGAGGCCATCCTCAAGAAAATGGTGTCTGGGACTGACCCATAATACAGTGTCCACTGCAGAGCTGACTTTTGGTTAGTGCCAGAGATTCTTTCAGGAGTGACTTTGTATATGCCTGTTAATGCCTTTTGTCCTTGTTCTGATGTCATTGTGGTGTTTTTGTTGGCCTTGAACTGGCTATGTAGACCAGACTGGCCTTGAACTTGCAACAATTCTGCTTCCTGCCTCTGCTGTCTGAGTATTGGACTCAGACAGCAGGGGTCATTTGACGCGGTTAAGTGGGAAGTGATTTAGATGATTCTCCCTGATCCTGGCTGGCTGTATTGATAACTCTTACTCAGCCATTGTGCTTTGAATGCCTTCATGGATTATCTCCTTTAGTGTCCCGTTAAGAATGGTCAATCACTTATGAGGAAGTGTTTCCCATGGGAGAAGTGCAGGTGAGAGGTTACACAGCATTCCTGCTGCACATCACATGCACATGACAAACAAGATGAATTTCAGCAGCCTAACTTTTCATATTAATATGTTTTAAACAGCAAAGAGTAGCTACTCGTGTCAATAGGGGATGGAAAAAAGTCATCCAAGCATGTAAATTTGATTTACTGTCGAACAGTATAATATCTCTCAATATAATTCCTTGTAGTTCTATATCTGTCTCCATGCTGTATATAAAGAATATCTTCAATGTGTGAACACTTCTGCCCTTCTGTGACGTTAGTTCTTATTGGCAGGAGAGGCTAGCATGACTTCACTGGGGAGTTCACTTCACTGCTCCCTTCGCAGCAGCTTACATAGAGCCCCTCCTGCATAGATCATTATAAAGTTCATCTTTAGTTTTTAAGAGAAATGGCACAAGATCAAAACCCAGACTAATTTAGCTTTGATTTCTTTTTCAACTAGACAGATTAATTATTTTCTCTGAGCCTCAGTTTCCCCAAATTGTGAGCATGAAGACTCTAGGTCACTGTGCTCACCGTGGGCTCATAGTTAGAAGGCGGACCCTCTGGTATTGAGCCTGGGTGTCCCAGCATTGTCAGCATCTGGAAGACCTATCTAGACCAGGAATTTTGGGGAGAAGAAATGGCCTCCACCAGCGTTTTCAGTGAGAACATTAGGTTGGTGTAGTTTCCTTCCCGGGCACACTCACACCCTGGCATCTGCTAAGGGCAGCTAAGTGAGTCAGACCACTAGGACAATGGTATGAAATCAAGAAACACGGACCTATGTTCATCTCAGTTCAGAAAGTCCATTTTAAAAGTCTCGGGGTCACCCTCCACAGCTGGGCTGCGGGCATTGTCCTTAGCAGGGCTGACAAAGCTCTGAGGAGAACCTTGGGGCATCGTGCCTGACAATTTCTGGCCCTAACTGTTGTCAGTTGGACGCTCGCTGTTTCGTCCATCCTCTTTCGGTCCTTCCTTCTTTCCCTTACATCCCTTCCCATGTGTCCCCAGCAGGTCAGTAGATCCAAGGACGTACATGTTACAGACCCAGAGAGAGTCATTTAGGAGGTGCTGTTGGCGGCAAAGGTTACTTCCCATTGTAATTCAAGGCCTTTCCTTCAGCTATTCCTTGGCTGACTGGTAAAATGCATTAAATTTACTTGGTTGTAGTAATAGCATAAGATTACAATCGTTCCTGTAGAATTACAGTTCTAATTCCAAAGTACTCTGGACCAAAAAAAAAAAAAAAAAAAAAAAAAAAAAAAGAAGAAGAAGAAGAAGCCGGGTGCCACATAGGGTGTTCAGGTAAAATGTTCCGAGTTTAGTTGCAGAGTGGCCCCTCCCAGTCTCTCTAGCTGGCAAAATGCGACTGATGAAGGTGCCTGTTTTACCCTCTAAAATGGGGAGAACTGGGAATTTCAAAAACATCCTTTCCCAGGGACTTCAGAGAACAAATCGTGAGCCAAAAACTGTTTTCCTTAAGTTCAGGGAGGACATTTAGTCCTAAAGAAATGAATGACGCATGAAAGACCCCTTCTTACAAAGAAAACCGCGTGGGGGGAGGGGAAGCAACGCAAACAAATAGCAAAGGCGACTATTATGTTGTAGAAAATGCCCTTTCAGGTTGGAGTCTTCATACAGGTAGATATTTTGGAGGGCATAAATCTGAGTCTGTACCTTTCCTGCTATTGAAAAGAAGGAGGAGGAAAAACAAACCCGGAGATTTCTCACAGCCACTGCGTAACCCCCTTCCTCTGCAGCAGAGCCACTCTGCGGAATGTGAGAGAGACTCACAGAACCACAGCGCCACCTTTCCTCAAGATGTGGAACTGCATCTTCACACTGTGCCAGGCCTGTTGACTGGCTCAAGCCTTTCACTGGGCCAGCTTCAGCAAGAAATAGCTCCGGAAAGCTCAGATCGTAAAGGAAGAGCCACAGAGTTCAAGAAATGGGTTTTCTTTTCTTTGGCCTGTGAACAATTAAACTGGTAACTTAATCGGATATTAGGGACTACGAGCCATAAACCCTGTGTTTAATTAGTGTGCACCTAGTGAGTCATTTTACACGCTAGACATTGTAATTTACAGCCTGCTGCACTGCAGCAGGTTCCTAGTCTTTCATTGTGTCAAACGGTATTCTTCTCGCTGCTGAGTCTTTAAAAATATAGAAACACTCTTAGTTGAGATTTTTTTCTTTTCAATTTTCAGTTGCAAATCAAACATGCAGTTACAGAAGCAGAGATTCAAAAATTGAAGACCAAGGTAAGCACCGCTCCGTGGTGTTTGAATTTTGCTCTTTGAGTTCTAGATACTCCGAGGACAAACGGGTGTGCTCCTGTGCACTGAGAGCGCACTCACATGAGAGTTCTGTTTCCACCATTGAGTACACAGACAGAAAGAACTTCTGGGAGAGCAAGCACACTGCACACACCCCAGCGAAAGCCACACAGAACTTCATATCTTAAATAGATTCACATTTATGCATATTCTCTCTGAAATTTCTTCAAAAATAATATTTTTAATGGCTCAAGCATCTGAAATATGTACTAATTTTAAGTACAATCTGGTATATAAAATATCATTTATATCATTTACCTTATAATAAATAGATTTATTTATTTTTAGCTAATATATAGAAGAAATGTATTGTTTTAATGTGGCACATTAATTGATTTTTACAAAAAAACTTCCCATGTCTAAGAATTAAATATTATAAACTCACTTTATGACACTGTGTAATTGATTTAGATCCAGGAATGACTGGAAATCTTGAGACATACTTAGCTTGCATTATTTAAATTTGTTAAAGAGAAAAAAAGTATTAATCAAAAGACTATATTTTTAATCTATATGAAATAAGACATCAAGAAAACTGTAAAATTCTTGTACAAGATACAGTTCTAGCGATTGTATTTAGCTCTAACAAATGTATATTTTCAGAGATTTAAAAATATTTTTCAGTTTCTTTCAAACTATTCTGTAATGCTTCCATGACCTCTTTAAAATTAAGATAAAAATTAATCCCTGTGACTATTGATCTGTTTTCTCATTCACAGGAAACACTTGCTTTGGATTCCCGTGTGTTTTAGAGGGTGATGAATTATCTGGGCTCTATGCTTAAATGGGATTGTTGACTAATACGCTCTCAGACTCTTTAGTCAAAGCATCTTTATACCTCCTTCATGGTACCAGCTTCGCACTGTGTCCTTAAGTCCTGAGTTAGCAGTGACTGGGCACATAAACAGCTGCCATGAATGCGGTAAACACCTAGTCCTTCTGGCCCAGAGCTGCTTCCTGGTGTTGGAAAGGAGGAGGCCTTGTGCTTACAAATGCTTTCAGAGACAGACGTAGGCATTTGACTATGAAGATTTAATTTAGAAAAGACTGCAAATTACTATTTTATATTTTTCTTCCTAGATTGGTATATGATATTCACACTTGAAAATATGTAATTGTAATTCTTATCCATGTTAAATAGATTGCCTCATTTCAAAGTACTTTTTACTTTGTAACCTCTTGTCCAAATGTATTTAGTAAAAAGTTTTCAAAAAACTATACCCATGATATATAAATACATAAATATATACATATATATGTGTATATATATATATCGTGTGAATGTGTATTTCAAATGTTCAATGCTATATAATGTCAGAATGTCTTTATTTTGAATACTCATAAGTTTAAAGAAGACACAGAAGATAGACAGAGCAGCAACTCTAAGGGCAGGTGGCTGTTGTCAGTGCCCTGTAAGCCTCATCTGAACATGCATCAATATCAAAGCCAGCCGCGTTTCATCTTTCCTGCTCTCGAATTCAGCCTAGAGACCTAGAGAAAACTGCACTCCGTCTTCCTAAGAGTATCTAGAGACAATAACACACAGAGCTATCTTCCAATCTATTGCAGAGATTTAGATTAATCAGACAGCCATTTATATCCTTATTTATCCTTGTCTTTTATGCTTGGTGTAAATTAAGGTCTATAAAGACCTAGACATTTTTAGCATTCCCTGTAATATATTGAGAGGCCCACTGTGTTTGTGTCAACTGAAATCAGGAACCTAATAGCATCATCTACAGATTGAAAACAGGAGGAGCAGCTGAAGCTTACCGGGTGATCGTGAGCCCAGGGAGAGCTGCAGGGAGGCTGGGCTGTGCGAGCCCAGGGCACTGGGTAGACGCTAACCCAGACTCTTAGAAACTTGGACCACTTGTCCAAGTTTTAAGGCAAATACCAAATGTAAGCTGAATGACTAAGTCCCATTTTAACCATTAGTGCAGTGGTTCTCAACCCATGGGTCACAGGGTGACCAATTCACAGGGTCTTCTAAGACCATCAGAAAATGCAAATATTCACATTACAATTCATGAAGCAAAATTATTGTTATGAAATTACAACAAAAATAAATTTTTGGTTAGCAAAGTCCCACAACCTGAGGAGCTATATTAAAGGTTGCAATGTTAGGGAGGTTGAAAACCACTGTTCTACTGCATTGTAGGCTTCTCCTCCTCTCTTGCCCCACCCCACTCCCTTTTTAGTTAATTTTCAACTTATTGCCCACCATTTTATTTAACATGCTCTCAAAGGGAATGAGTTGACATATATTGAACCGAATCAGTGATATGCTAGACATCTTTTCCTGCTTTCAGTACTTCAAACTACATGGTATCAAAGAAAGTTCATGGGACTTGGAATCAAGTTTTTGTTTCATGATTTATCAGATGGATAACCCTGAGCAAGTCATTTTTTCCCATTTTATGCTTTATAGATATGGAAAGAATTGTTAATCTTCTCGTCCCACGCTGTTTTGATGACTGAGTGTACAGAACAATAGACTTATGTTTACCACAAGCTTTAGTAGTGCGGACTGAAGAAGGACGCTTAAAAGAAATGGCACACTTGCTCAGAATGGAGAAAGAGATGGTTACTTGTTTAGGGGTAAACTCGCAAATGAGAATGGAGCGATAGTTGCTGCAGACATACCTAAATTGTTTTTGCCTTGACATTTGTTTTCTCCAGCTGCAAGCAGCAGAAAATGAGAAAGTAAGGTGGGAACTAGAGAAGAACCAACTTCAACAGAATATTGAAGAGAATAAAGAGAGGATGCTGAAGCTGGAGACCTACTGGATCGAGGCACAGACCCTGTGTCACACTGTGAATGAGCATCTCAAAGAGACTCAAAGCCAGTATCAGGCCTTGGAAAAGAAATACAACAAAGCAAAGAAGTTGATCAAGGATTTTCAACAAAAGTAAGCATTCCCTACGGATCCAAATAGCAGTTAGAACCCATGCCTGTCTGAAGAGGACACATCCCCAATGCTTGATACTGTTTGAGGTGTGCGAAGGAGAGCAACTTTTTCTCATGAAAATATATTTTGTGTGTTTTCATCTGACTCCTTCTTAGTTTTTGATAGTAACTATTAAAACATTTACACTTATTGGATTTTTTTTGGAAGCATTTCTTTTTTTAAAAACCAGCAGTGTAACTGGAGTTGTACAGGATGCTTGGTGGACAGTTGGACACACTCCATGCAGAGGAGCAGATGGGGTCTGGATGAGGCTGCTTCTGTCTGTCCTCAGAATCAGTGACCGTAGACCCTGCCTCTATAGACATGTAAACACTGACTTGCAGGACATCCCACCCTGCCTCTGCATTTCTCGTCCTCTGTCCGTGGAGCCCAGGTTACAGCATTGAGGCAGGCCGTCACCAGACCCTCAAATGAAATTTCAGCAGCTCCTTTCTGAGCTGCAGTTGTTTTCCTCCCATATCTTGGGTCATGACTTAATCTTAGAAAGCATGCACGAAGAGATTTTCATGAGTTATTTCTGACTCACTAGGCCCACACCAGCCCTTTCCCGGTTTTCTGTGGCAAGCCTTAGCAGCTAAGTGTGTGTGCCACAGTCATCACATGGCTTTCCTGTCTTAGAAATAATATTTCAATAGTTGAAACAGAGAACTATAACGAGCTGTTTCAAAGAGGATAGCAGTACTGTTAGTGGAAACTCAGCACATTATTGTTTTAACTTTTTGCCAACAACACTGTATCTATAAGAAATGACCAGATTTGCATATTCCATGAGAAGCTCTAAGAATGGAGGGGTACCCTCTTTTCCAAGATTACCCGTGGAGGTGTGAATGCGTTGTGTCCCAGTGCCCACGATTTTCTCACTCGAACAACCTCCTTTCAGCTCTTACCATTCACTTCCATCTGTTGCCTTGTGTCTTGGAAATAGAGACTCACTTCTACTGACAGGAAATTATCACCGCTAAATTCCCCACGGAGTCATTAGTGCAGTCACTCCTGTCCACACGAGTGTACATGCTCCTTACCAGGACTCTCTCCAGGTGGACAGTGTACCGAGAAAATCAGACTACTTCCTGTACTTGTGATTAGATCATTAAAGGTGTCTTTTGTTGCTATAAACTTTCCTACGAACTCTATTTGAGTTTCATTTATTTAAATAGCTCTTTCTCACTTACTAAAGTTATCTACAATTGAACCTATTATTTTCTTCTTTAGAGAGCTTGACTTCATCAAGAGACAAGAAGTAGAAAGAAAGAAGCTGGAAGAGGTGGAAAAGGCTCACCTGGTGGAAGTGCAAGGCCTGCAAGTCCGGGTGAGTGTTTCTCACAGCCACTGCGTGGGGAGGCAGCTCTGCCAGAGACATGCTGGGCATTCAGTTTGTGAATGGCTTTTTGTTTTCTAGATTAGAGACCTCGAGGCCGAAGTGTTCAGACTGCTAAAGCAGAGTGGGACCCAGGTGAACAACAACAACAACATCTTTGAGAGGAGAGCGTCTCCGGGTGAGGGCTCCAAAGCAGACACTATGGAGAATGTGGAAGTCAGGCAAATGTCCTGCCAGGATGGCTTGAGTCAAGGTTGGTCTCTCCTTACCATTGTGCTGACAGACTTGAGGTTTTTTTCTGGCTTGGAGAACCCAAAGCTCAAGCCACTTTCTAAGGCTTATCAGGATAAGACCTTGTCCTTTTTAGCTCATATCAAACATAACCACTTCAGCGGAAATGACAGTTCCAACTAAAGCAAACCCAAGTGTCAGGAATAAATACCCTTCGTAAACGGCATTGGAAATAATCGTCCATTTCTTCTGGTCCCCACTCGTAGAATAGTATCTTGCCCATGCATCAGTGGGCTGGCAACCTGATCTAAGATTCCCTCTCTCCTCAGTTCTCTTCTTTATGTGGGGTCCTACTTGTACTTGGTCCATCTTGCCCAAAACCAAATAAGAAGAGAACATAGCATCAGACACATCCACAATCCTCATGTCACTTATACGTTCCACACATTCACATTTTGTATGTAGAGTTTATGTATATATCCATATGAATGTTTCATTTAAACAGTGCATTCGTACATTAAAAATGTAAGAGATTGTGTCCACATAAATGTGAAGACTGGGGGACTTGGTTTCTTTGTCTTTCATGAATTTATAGTGAGTGCTACACAAGAGCAGTGTTACCGCGCCCTGGCAGGTCGCTAGCCTGGCTCGCAGCAGACTCTGTAGGAGCTGTTCCATTTTTTTGGTGATCTTTCTTTCCTATTAAAATATTTCCAGGGCTGGGAAGAGAGCTCAGCTGGTAAAGTGTTCACCACTTTACCACAAATGTAACAACCTGAACTCAGATCCACAGCATTCACATAAAAAGCCGTGTGCAGTGTGTACACCTGTTATCCCAGTACTAGGACAAGGAGCAAGAGATAAGAATTCATGACTGGGGCTTGTCGTCAGCTAGCCTAGCTGAATCAAAACTCCAGGTTCACTGAAAGACCTCTTCTAAAATAAAATAAGGTTAGTAATAAAGTAAAATAATGTAAAATAAAATAATGTTTCTTGAGGAATGATGGCTGAGCTCAACATACACGTGTCCACACTGAGACAAACACTCATTGGCATGTCTACACATACGCATAAACATGCACATGCATATACCACAAACAGACACAGATGTTTCCAGAGAGATGTTTCTGATAAGCAACTATTTATATTGTAGCATTAACTTCAGAAGTATTTTCTTAATCATTAAAAGTACAAAGAACTGAAAAATGTTTATTTTAATGAAGTCGGTGTTTAAAGATTTGAATGCACTCCCTTGGTTTATGTCTTTCTGCTGGGCTGTCCCTAAGTAAGGAATCGTTTATAAGTACTGCCTCAAGGCAGTTGCCAGGGAGGAGCCTTGAGGGTAAGCCATCCCATCCAGGGCTGTGTCTCTGAGGTCCCACCTGCTCTGGATTGACCTTATTGTGTGAAATATAAAAGTGGTGGCAACTCTTTCCTCTCCAGCCTGCCGCCGTCGCGTGGCACCATGTGGCTATACTGCAAAGGAAGTCATGCTATCGGCAAATGCGGCTACAGTGTTTATCCCTGGAAAGGCGTACAACTGAAGTAAAAAGAGAAGGCGCAGAAACCAAGCCAGTATAGGTTTTTAACCTTTATGGGTGTTTAAAGTTTAATTGTAGTTTACTATAAATACAGGGTCTTGCTGTGGTATACTCAGGATATGACCAGTAACCAGTAGACTTTCCCGTTACTCATTTCTTTCAGTTTAGAAGTCGGTATCTTGTCAGACATATAATTAATGGCATTTATTAAATTATATGACTACAGAAGATCAGCAGATGTGCTATTAACATGCTGATTTGGATCAAAACCTTACATTTCTTCTGAACTCTTTTTCTATTCTGCACCCTCCATTTTGCTACGTAATTACCAGTTTCCCTAGCAACACTGTCGGTTCACAGTGAGATGTGGTGACTGCTCGTTCTTCCTGAAAGCGACCCTGCTTGTGTCGAGGTGGAATCGTCACTGCAGACTTTAGCAACAGACACATCAAGCCATGTTCTTCCAGTTTTGCAGTCAAAGACAGCCAATGGCAGATCTTGAATTTCAATCACTTGAGCACATAGACTTAAGTGGCTTGGCTAGGAGCTAGAGGGAATGTTCTGGAAAGTACTTTTCTAAATTGATTTTTGCTTCTGTTGCTACGGAACACCAAAACTTAGAGATTTAGGGAGGAAGGTTGCAGACCAAACACAGTCCATTCAGTACTGGAAGACCTTTCTGAATTCCTGTAACACAAAGTACAATGCTAGCGGCCACCATCTTGGTGTCTGCCCATTAGGTGCCGGGTTATATGCAGTCTGTTAGGACTGTCCAGTTCTCATCTGCTTCCCAGGTCTGGAGGGTTAAAAGGTATTTTGGGCTTGAGGCAGCTCTTGAAGTAGGTCCATGATAAACTGTTTCAGAACAAAATAATGAAAGGGAGGGAAGACAAGGCGGCAGGAGAGGGCTGGAAGCACCCATTCCTCCCACTGACCCATGTCCTAGGACAGAGCTTCCTGCAAGCTCTGAGTAGTTAGTCAACACTCAGTATTGGAATTCCAGGCATTTCTGAGGAATGAAACTAATTTTCAAACTTTACGAAGATTCACCACACTTAAATTATCTTTTAACACTATTTGAATGTATCCTGGTCAGAAATGAAACAAGGCAGGTATTTTATTAAAATTTTGGTACAAGGCCAGGCGTGTGGTGCAGTGCTTTAATCCCGGCACCCAGAGAGCAGGACTGAGGCCAGCAGACCTTTTGAGTTCCATGCTAGTGTAGTCTACATAGCAAGTTCCAGGCCAGCCAGAGCAGAGAGAAGAAAATTCATTCTTTAATATATTCTAATTCTTTATTCTCCCCATAATTATAGAAAACAATTAAATAATTTTTCATCAATAGTTAACAGATCTCAAATCACATCTGTTTTACACTGTGTAGTTGTCAAATATTGCATTCCATTTGTAAAAACGGTGATTTTTTTTTCCATACTATCTTTGCTCAGTACCTCATTAACACTGGTCTGCATGAGTTCTCTACCCTGCTTCCTCAACTCTGGGATGGCGGTGACATCAGGGGCTGAGCTACCATGTTACCTTATCATTAGAATATAAGGTTTAACTTACTTCTGATACTTTTCCTTGAAAAGCCCCTGAAATTCAAAATGTTTATCCTGAGCCTCCACATAGTTCACGATTCTTATGATGATGCTGTTTTAGCTTCAAATATTTAGAATTTGTTTTTTTAGAGAGAGGTAATGCATGTTCCATAGAGTACTGAAAGAAAGCCAGGGGTGGATAAGAGGGAGTTACCTATTCAGGCAAATGATTGTTGCCATAATGAAAGGAATAAGGAAAAGTGCAATCTTACTGAAAGTCATGTGAACACCGAGTCTCTGTTTAAGATGCAGAGACTTATAAGGGGAAAGGTAGTTTACTGCATAGAAAGAATGGCAAATATGTAACAAAAATATCTTGTGGATGAATGGAATTGAAAATGGGAAAGAGATAGATAGATGTAGAATTTAAGTCACCATATACACATCTGAAGAGAAAAAAGGAATTCAGATAACAGTTGCTTAAAATCAGAATGACTTTTTCCTCTCTAATTGATGTTTCTAATACAAATGGGGTCATTTGAACTGCCACAAGGTAGTCTTGGGATAAAGACTAAAAAAAAGTCCTGGCTCCTAGCATCGTAAATGCCGCCACCAGTTGTGAACAGAACTGAGGTGCCCATAGGGATGTGAGTAATCCAGAGGTCGCCGTAGAAGGTGGGCATTGCTACCAGACACTTCTCACATTTACCTCCTCCGCGGCACACTCGTGTATAGAACACACTGAATCTCATCTGTGGCAAAGTGTAAATTCAAGGGTTCCGTAAAGTACTTCACCATTCATGTTCAGGAGATGGCTTTGTTGCTAAAGTGCCTGCTGCCCAAATGTGAGAGCCTGGCCTTGAATCCTTTGCACCTCTGTGAAAATCTGGGCATATTAACAAATCTGTAGCCCCAGAACCTGGGGGCAGGCAGAGACAAAAAGATCCCTGGAGATGATTAGCCATTTAAGCCAATGGGTAAGCTAGGGGTCGGTGAGAGACTCTGTCTCAAACAACGAGGCGGAAGGCTGTCAAGAAAGACACTCAACACTGACCTTCACAGCCACACCCACATCTACACCCATACCCACAGCCACACCCACAACCATACCCACAGCCACACCCACATCTACACCCACATCCACAGTCACATCCACAGCCACATCCACAGCCACACACCAGTGCACCCACATCCACACCCACACC